AACACATTCTTGAAGGAACAGGATATTTCTAGAAAACGTGGCGTGACACTAGTCACGTGACCTCGCTGACGCAACAATGATGAAAATTATTTATTCTTGTAGTTTTGCCTAGAATAAGTTTATGCAATATGATTGATGTAAATCAGAGAGGGTTGTTATGAAATGATCTGTATGTATATTAATAATGGTATTATTTAATGAAACATGATTTATTAGTTAACTAGATGTGTTTTAAAATGTATAGTAAATGTGCTTCCACAGGGTACCAGAAAGTGTTCTGTTTCAAGGGTAAATAAAAAGTTCATATGTTATGCTGTGCTGTATTATAACTTGTAGCCTACAGAGTGCATAATTCTTCTCGTGATTCATAGCATACACACGTTTTACTGATGTCATGATAGTACAAATGGTAATGTTAAGCTTATCTTATATGGCGTCATTTTAGTGTTTGCTGACTGATTGACAGACTTGAATGGTACTGCATTCCTTTTATACACATGTTCTGTGGTAGAATTCCTTATCTAGCCATTCTTTACAGGTTATAATAACCTGCCAGTTAGACTAGCTAATATCATAAATGTATTATTTTCTTCCAACTCTCTAATAATTTTTCTACTTTTAAACAACTTTATGGTAATCACAAGTCACAAAGATTTGCTGAGACTTTGAAAACTGTGGTGTTTTATACACAGTTGCAGAACTACATTAAATGAGTTGCACGTCATACGTGTACGTTTAATGTTTTGTTATCCAGGACTTGTAATTAAAGATCATGTAGATTATGGTGTATTTTTCATAACTATGTAATAAACAATTAAAACTTTATCTAATTATGTATCAATTATTAAAAGCCAACTTCAAAACTATTTTTATCACAAGCTAAGTGAAACAGTATTGATTAAATTTGTGAAGTTAATTGATAATACTTTGATTTAGTTTCTCAATTTTTTATCACTTATAAGTTCATGTTTAGGATTGGATTTTTATTTTATTTAAAAATTGGTATTTTGGGTTTAGCTTTAGCAGCTATTCATGTCATTACATATTTGTTCTTGAATATCACTAGTTCATTGTTAAGTATTGAAACTAGTAACAGCTTTAGTTTCACATTTGTGTAGAAACACAGTTTCACTTAGTAGTATTTGTTGATTCAATCTTAATAGGTACCAACTCTCACTTTGACAATTTTTTGGTAAAGTTTCCAGTCTCCTTTCAATCCTTGGTGGAACAGAAAGAGCTAGAAAATATCCTAAAGTGTCCTTACTTCTGATGTGTATACTGTTGAATACAGAATGGAATTTGAGGAATATGAGTCTCTACTTCCTAGTAGTACTGTAGCTACTCATATGGTAGCTGGAGCTGCAGCTGGAATTATGGAGCATTGCCTTATATATCCAATAGACTCTGTAAAAGTAAGGTTTGTTTTAGGGTTGAATTTACACATACTTAATTGTGTGAAATCACCTGCACTTGTGTTCCTTCAAAGACATTTTAATCAACTTAATTTTAACTTGTATATATACTGTATCTATTTTTTCTATTTAGATTGTGTTTCTTTTACTCATTTTTGTATATTTTTTATTTCATCTGTTTTTTCTAAGTTCTCATTTGAATTCTGCCTTGTTCTCTTTAGGTGATATTAACGGTTTTTTTCACTCCATATTCATAGACAAACAACTCTCCCAGTGCCTGGTTTATTTCTAGATATACAATAAAAAACAAAAAGATACATGTTTTAAGTATTTATATACCTTGTATTCATGGTAGTACATTTTAAACTCACATTACTGTTCTATTGGGGTGCATATATGTTACCATGGCAGTGAAAGAGTTAAGTACACACTCTCATTTCACAGTTATTAAATCCTTATAATGTTAACACATTAGTTTTTAATTCTTTGTATTGTGTCAATATTTATTTGACCTTATGTCTTTTACACAATGTCTATACACAGTTATTTCGTTTTATTGAAATCCTGTTAATATAAATATCTTTTGTACTCTTTATGCCTTTAATATACATAATTTTATGTTTCAGCTTTTACCTTGTAAATGTAGTTTGGGCTTTTTCTCACCAGACTAGGATGCAGAGTCTTCAACCAAATCCAAAAGCCACATACCATTCAATCTCAGATGCTTTATACAAGATGGTCAAATATGAAGGTATTTTCCGTCCTGTTCGTGGGATGAGTGCTGTAGTTTCTGGAGCAGGTTTTGCCCATGCTCTATACTTTTCTTGCTATGAAAAGATGAAAAGGGTTTTCAGTGGTACTGAAACTGGAGCCCATAGTCCCATTTCTCAAGGTAGGACTTATCACAGGAATGAAACAAGCATCTATGTCAGATTTGAAAGAATTGCTAATTTCGCCATTCCATAACTAAAAAGAATATATATATCTGTATTTTAGTATTTTATGTTTTTTAATCAACATTTGTATGCATGTGTTCTGCATGTAGTTATTGGCACCCTTGTAAAAAGGTCATAAATTTATTCTAATTCTTTAGTTTAGACAAAGGTAACATACCTCAACAATTGTTCAGTTATGCTTATACATGTTCGACTCTGTTTCTGTATCATGCCTTTCTGGAGCGAGACCATACTAATTTCAATTATGATACAGAGCTTTGTGTAAACTAGTATGTATAATGGAAATTGTTGCTGGGGTTGTTAATCTGAAATTGTGGAACACTGCAATAGGACTTTTTCTGAGTTGAAAGTATAGATTGTATGATTACCATATGCATAGGCATGAGGAGGAATGTGGTGCATGTAATTGCACCCATATAGGTGTAAGATATTGTTATGCCTCTGTGTTCGTTTGTTACAGTGCCAGCAAAGTCCCTCAAACCTCTCTGAAAGCTGACCTTTCCTGGTCTTGAATCCTGATGACTGTACCAACCTTGGTACCTCTGTGCTGGACTTAACGTCGGATTCAAATTCAAGGGCTCTGGACAGTGCATCCTGCATAGTAGAGGGGTGTGCTTGTTTTACTTGTATCTTTAGTTGTGGACTGTCCAAGGCATCTACAAACTGATGCCTCAGCAACAACTTGAGGAGATTGGGTGGCGCAGTTGGGTAGGCCTTGTGTACCATATTTTCCAAATCCTGTGCCAGCTCTCCCCTTTAGCACGGAATCTCGTCCTAAACCTAGCCCTGTAGACTTCGGACTGATTTTGTGTTCTAGAACCGCTACCAGTGCTCTATAGTTGTGTCTCTCGTCTGCTGACAACTGTCCAAGTATTTCCAGTGGTTGTCCTTTCAAGCTCGTTGCCAGATATACAGCTTTCTGCTCCTCTGTCCATCCATTCATTTCTGCCAGTAGCTCAAATTATGCTCTATATGCTTCCCATGGTGCCTTCCCATCGAATTCCTGTGGCTTCCTTCGTACTAGATCACCCCTATTGCTGATATTCATGTCTGGAATGTGGCTTCTGGCAGGACTGATGTCACACTAATGTCTGCATTAGGGTTTAGCTGCGGGGTCTGGAAGGAGCTTATTGTTGTCTGGGGCTGATTAAGGCCATGGCTAATATATCCTTCCTGTAAATCACC